CAACCTTCTCCTTACCATCAGCGCTTCACATCCTGTCTCTATTTAATAATATAATTCTCTTTATATCCCCAGGACCTGAGGAATACAATGCAAATTACGGTTGGGTTCCCCTCCCTCCCGGTTTGAAAAGATGACTTAAAATAAGCTTGCAAATAATAGAGCGCAAATCGGTTAGCGATTCCCACCGGTGCAGCCTGCCTGATCCTTTCGTCTTTGCAACTTTCTCGGCAATCGTTCTGCCTGGAAGGAATGCTCAGGTCCGTCCTGGGCTGCCCCTCTGGGCTGCACATCAAGAAGGAAGCCGATCCAAAGCTCAACGTGGCCCCACCCAGGTCTGTGGGTGCAACGGCACCCTGAGGCCACCCCGCTTGTAAAACAGGAACGCAAAGCCCGTTTGCAAAACTGGAATGGCCCCTGAGTGGCCTTGCATCTCAGGGAGGTATCCCACAACAGCCTAGTAACCAATTCCACTGGAGTCCCCAATGAAGCTAAATAATAATAGGAATATGAATATGAACAGATTTGCATATGGTGTTTTTCCTTCCCTTTACTATCTTCAGCTGAAGGGGTAGGTAGAGCTGGCAAAAGGTGGGCAGCGTAAGAGAGGCGAGAGAGGCGAGAGAGGCAGAACACTTTGGGTAGACCAACTGTGCATTGCATGGAAGAAGGCTAAAGTGGGGGTCCACGAGCAGCTACCCCCCAACAGAAAATAGAATTAATTCAGACCTACCACTTAAGAAAGAACAGGATCGCTGTTTAGCAGGCATAAAACCTTGGGGTGGGAGGTGGGGCGGGGAGAAGCTTTGCTGGGAACAGACCTCTGCATGTCTGCACCCAGCCTTCATTTCTTCCTTCACTGCCCTCCTGCACCCAATTCTGCACGGAGAGGGGGTTTGCACGGGAGGTGTGCAACGGCACACCCTGGAACTGGGCTGCCATAACTGAAAAGGCCACGTCTCCTGGGCTGGGGCTTGCCACTGCAGAGTCCCCCACCCTGTTAAGGGGCCACAGATTCAGACAGCTTCCAGAAGAGGGAAAAAAAGGGGGGGTGTTGCAGACTGTTAAGAAGGGGGGGAAATGGGCTTCAGCAGCAGCACATCCACAAGCAGGGATGTGTCTTTGTCAACGGCTGTCCAGGGACTTGCTCCCCCAGCTTCAGCCACTTAAGTGCGGCTTCTCCGTCTCTAGCCCTGCGACCTTGGAAAGAGCCCATCTAGTGAGAAAGGAGATTCGGTGCCCCCCCCCACTTTCCAGGAGGTCTCAGCTGGAGGGAGAAGGCCCATCTCTGGCCCCCACAAGAATGCAGCATTTCAGAGGCTTCCACGCTCTCCCCCAGGCTAGAAGTAAGATGGCAAAGGGGGCCAATAGGAGAGAAGGGGCAGGAAGTGGGAAAGAGATGCCTCTTACGAAGCAGCCCACCCTCCAGCATCCTGCAAGGGCTTGACCATTGCACGTGGGAATGCAACGCACAGCCCTTCTTCCTCACATTGCCACTGGATGGAATCAACGCAAGCCCAAACTTAAACAAACCTGGTTCTTGCAGGGTGGTGGCCCTAAAGCCAAAGGTAGGACTGACACATTTAGCAACAGGGGGAGGAGAGCTGCGTTCGTTCAGGGGCTGAATCAGGTTGGGAAGACCCTCTTAAAACAAAATGGGAAAAACAGCAGCCACGTGGCCGACCCGCCCCCCCCCCCGGTCCTAGTTCATTTGCACGGATTCTGAGCGTGACAACGCTCACAGCTAGCGGAATGTGAAGCAGCGGGGCTCTAATGAAAAAGACAGAGGTTTTCCTCGGGCCCCGAAGCATGAAAATTCAGCAAGGCCAACTCACAAGAACCGACGGAAGACATTACCTGATGATTTGAATGCAGTCAGTTGTACAGCCTGGGGGGGAAAATAGAGAGAAAGAGAGAGGTTGATCCCCCAAAGCCTCTGCAGGGAACCACCATTTGTCTTCAGCCTCCTAGCAAAACATCTTACAAGACGACAGTTTCCAACTAAACTTCGCTAACCAAACTTTCATCACACCCCTAGTTCGCAAAAGTTGGCGTGAGCAGGCAACCTTCACCTCGATCGTATAAAATAGCTGAAAATCCAGTCTCAGGTGACCCAAAGGCCTTTTTAATTTGCTTATCGGCCCAAACCAAGGTTCTGTCTTCTACCTTTCTATTCTGCATCCCTAAGAGGTCGTGATCAAATTCCAGGTCAGCTCCTTTCCAGTCCCCTTCTGGGCCGCTCGCTTTTGCAACGCTCCACTCCGTTCAGAACTGGAGATGCCTTGTGAAAAAGAGAGGCGTATCGTTTCTTTACAACCCGCCGGTTGTAAAAACTATTCTCGTCCGTTCTGGCTCCCAGGGGCGCAGCATCCTTGGTTCTTCTTTCAAGCTGGAGCCCTAACGGATGATGTGATTTGTAGTCCGTATGTCCAGAAGGAACCGAGCAGCTCCACTGTCATAGAATTCTAGGGTGGGGAAGGACATTGGGGTGTTCCAGTCCTACCCCCTGCCCAGTGCAAGGATTTCATACTATTCTGGACAAACGGCTGTCCCGACTTTTAAAGATCGTTTAAAATCATAAATCTCGGATCAAACTGGTCCTGTGCAGAGGCTGCGTCCACACAGCAGAGGTACCCAGGACAGT